GGCCTCGCCGTCCCTGTCTTCCATGCCGTCTTCCCACTAGCCAGATCAACTGTCCAGTAAATTTAATTACAGCCTGAATGGCCGCAGTTCCTGATCTTCTGCCGTCCCCCTCCACCCCATCCCGGCCCCGAGTGTGCTGAATCCCACCGGGGTCCTTCACGAGGGAAATCAGGTCAATCTCTAGGCTTTGTTCTCAGCTTGCAGAGCGGATGCTGGTGACCGTTGTTGCCACGGCGGCAGGGGCGCCTGTGGTTGGGAGATTATGCTCTTTGTCTCTTCTGGCTTTTCCCTCTGCAGCATTAACAACAAGAGCTGGTTTTACTGACTCCCAGGGACTGTGAGATAGGAAACTGAACATACCAATGTGGGGTGCGCGATACCCACGACTGAACTGTGTGCATTTGCCAGAGGCCCCATCCCAGGCCTGAGGACTCTTCTGATGTGTGCTTCAGATCTGCCTCTGGGGCAGCAAACTCTGTATCTGCAAGCAGGCCCAGGCCCTGGGGTCCAGGAGAAACATTGTATCAGAGCCTCTGCCTAAACAGGAATGCTTTTGTGAGACTTCTAAACCAACCGAATATTCACGAGAACGTCACCACTCATCAATTCACTCATCACATGTCAACGACTGAGGGTCTGCTATGTACCAGGTTACTTTGTGTTTTAGAAACTTTGGTCTAGACACTAAAGAATAAAAGATTAGAGAGGAACCTCCTGTGTAAATAACTAATTTAGAGAAGATGTGCACAGGAGATTTGTTGTTATTTGCTGTTGAGTTCAACTCATGCTGCCTCCATGAACAGACCCCGTCCTATCCTGCGCCGTCCTCATCATCTCTGACATGTTCGAGCCTCTTGCCCCGGTCACTGTGTCAGTCCATCTCATTGAGAGTCTTCCTCTCTTTCACCGACCCTCCACTTTCAATACAGATTGCATCTCAATGGCAAGAAGACAGACTCTTAACCACTGGGCCAATAGGCAATATCATGATGGAGAAGAGATTGGAACTGTCAACAACTTCATCCTATTTGGATCCACCATTAATACCCGTGGTACCAGGCGTCAGGAAGTCAAGAGACACATTGGACTCACTGGAAAAATCTGCTGTTAGGGACCTCTCCAGATTATTGAGGAGTAATCATGTCAGTTTGAGGACTAAGGTGCATCTGATTCAGGCCACTGGTCTTTCCAATCACTTGCTGTGCATCTGAGAGCTGAACAATGAATAAGGATGACAGAAGAATTGATGCTTTGGGTGGGGGGGAGAATTGATGCCCTTCCAACTGAACGTCCCATGGACTGTCGAAAGAACAAATAAGTCTTGGAGACGGTGCAGCCACAGTGCTCTTTTGGAGACAAGAATAATAAGGCTTCACCTCACATACCATGGGCAGGTTGCTAGGAGGTTGCTATTCGTTGGAGAGGATGCTGGGAAGAGTGGAGAGTGGGCAGAGGAGAGGAAGATGCCCAACCAGTTGAATTAACGCGGTGACTGCCGCAATGGGGTCCAGTGTGTCAGGAAGTGTGAGGACGGCGCAGGACAGGACGGCGTTCACATCTGTTCACAGGGTCACTATGAGTTGTACTCGACTCGACAACACCCAACAACAACAATAACAAGGAGGAAGGGGCCCTGCTGGGACTTGGGCCTCAAGCTTCTTAGACTGATGAAGAAGAAAAGACTGGTTCTTCCCTACAGCACAGAGGAGGCCAGTTGTGCGTCCGAGGGGCCACTGTTCTCCATGCGCCTCAGCTCGTCATCCTTGCTGTCTGGGTGAGGCCCTAGGGCCAGGCCTGGCCTCTGTTAGACAAAAGGGGCCTTCCAAGGCCTGGGGGGGGGGGACTCACTGGGATGGACAGAGCCCCGTGGGAACACTTAGCTCCTTCAGTGTCGTACATGTGACCACAGCAACGCTGAGAACCCATTTTCTGGGTTTTAGTGTTAGTCTCTATTCTTATTTTTAGTTATCAGCATGTTGCTTTTTGTCTTTTATTTTCATTAAGAAAAATTTCTGACATAATATATGTATTGCGATGGGAAAGTCTGCTGTTAGGGGCCTCTCCAAAGTACTGAAGAGCAGTGGTGTCACTCTGGAGACTAAGTGTGCAGGCGATGGTCTTTGCTGTGTGTCATAGAGCTAGACAATGACTAGGGATGATAGAAGGAGAAATGATGCCTTTGAGCTGTGGTGCTGGAGAAGAGTATTGACTATACCATGGACTGCTAGAAAATGAACAGGTTCAGCCTAGAGAAGGTTAAACCAGGCTGCTTTTTAGAGGCTAAGATTTTGACCCTTCATCTGACATACTTGGGACATGTTGCCAGAACAGCACAGGAGAGGAAGACCCTCTATGAGCTGGATTAATTCAGTGACTGGGGTAATTGGGATGGGTGTGTCAGAGACAGTGCAATTGGCACAGGACAGAGCAGAGTTTAGGGCTGTTGTACAGAGGGTCACTATGAGTCACACATAACGGCACATAATAACAACCACCCCCTCAAAGGAGAATGAACAGTATAATGAAGTCCCATGACCATTCCATGGCCAATACTATTTAATTTCTTACCTCTCCCATCCCTACACACACACACACACATACACTCATTCTCTCTCTCTCTCCCTCTCTCTCTCCCCCCTACGTATTATAATGAAGTACATTCCAAATGTCACTGCATCAACAAATACCCACTTCCTAAACAGCATGCCTCTAGAAACTCTATGAACTTTAATAAATGCTGATAATTATAGAAAGGCTTCAGGCCTTTTGTTCATAGGGTCGCTATGAGTCATGCTCGACCCGAAGGCAATTAACAACAAGTAGCTCTGGTGGCCTAGTGGAAAGAAGCTGCGCTGCAACCTTGAAGGCAGGCAGTTCAAATCCACCAGGTGCTCTGCTGGAAAAGAATGGGCAGTCTCCTCCCGTGCAATTAACTGTCTCTGGAAACTCACTGGAGGGTCAGCTGTGGGTTGGTTCTGGCTCAGTGCTGCACAGCAACAACGTTCTATAAGGTAGAAATGTTCACCCTCTAAAAAAAGAAAGCATAAGAACAACACCTTTATCACTCCTAAAATAAAGTTATTAGTGATCCTTTAATATCTTAAACTTCCAGTTTTCTCACATATGTCCACAGCTACTTCATTTAAATCAGAATTCCCAAATGCTTGTACAAGTCATTACTAACGTCTCAAATCTCTCTTTCTTTAAAGTTAGGTTTATTGAGGTGTAACTTACATAATATAAAATTATTTCTTAGATGGTCAGTTGACAAAGGAATAAAGCCGTGTGAGCACCCCCACAATACTGGTGTAAATGCTTCCATCCCTCCCAGGACTTCCTCCAGCCCCTAATTCCTCGCCCTTGGAATCCTACTGTTTTTCACTGAGGTGACTCTTTACAAGTCTCAAGGATCTTTCCAGAATGCCCTAGAAACGCATTCAGAGAGTACTTGGGCTTTGGCAGCTCATGGCCTTTACTGGACATAATATATATATAATGTTTCTGGGGTTCACCAATGCATGTTTCCCTTCTTCTCTTGATGAATAGCGCTCCACTGCACGGCTGGATCTCCTTCTCTCTCTCTGTCTCTCTCCCTCTCCCTCTGCCTCCTTCCTCTCTTCCCCCCTCTCTCCCTCCCCCAGCTCCCTCCATTTCTCCCTCTCTCCTTCCCTCCCTCTCTTTCTCTCTCCCTCTCTCCTCCTCTCTCCCTCCCTCCCTCCTTCCTTTTCTCTCCCTCCCTCTCTCCCTCCACCCCACCTTCTCCCTCTCCCTCCCTCCTTCCCTCTCTCTCTTTCTCACTCCTGCTCTCCTTCTCTCTCCCTCCCTCCCTCTCTCTCCTCCTCTCTCCCTCCCTCCTTCCCCCTCTCTCTCTTTCTCACTCCTTCTGTCTCTCTTCCTCCCTCTCTCTTTCTCCCTCCCTCCCTCTCTCTCCTTCTCTCTCCCTCCCTCCTTCCCCCTCTCTCTCTTTCTCCCTTCCTCTCTCTCCTTCTCTCTCCCTCCCTCCTTCCCTCTCTGTCTTTCTCACTCCCTCTGTCTCTCCTCCTCCCTCTCTCTTTCTCCCTCCCTCCCTCTCTCTCCTTCTCTCTCCCTCCGTCCTTCCCTCTTGCCTCCTTCCTCCCTCCCTCTCCCCCCTTCCTTCCCTCCTTCTTTTTCTCTTTTTTCATTTCTTTCTTCTTTTTGTAATGTATTTGTTGAAAAAGCCAGGTGATTGTTTTCTAGCTTTCCCTCATATTCATGATGGTGACAGTGGCACCCCCATTGTGTCATTAACCGTGTCCCTCTGTCCCCTGAATGTCCTCTAGTTAGAGTTAGAGCCAGAGGCTCCTCTGAGTCACGTGTGTTTGGGTTCCAGACTGAGAGGAGGTTGTGTGTTTTCCCACCGGGAGGCACAGATGGTAGGTGGCCTGTTAAAGGCTGTCATTAACCATTGATGGTCAATGCCCAAAGCCATTCACTTATCAGGGTGACAAAAGATGAGTCCTTATTCTGTTACTGCGCCTTCATTTATTAGCTGAAATATTTGCATACAGAGAAACATTCCCACCATTGCTACTTGATCCCAAAGTGGCACCAACAATTAATGTTTGATTGTTAGCCGGAAGATCTAAGTCCGAGAGTTCACCTGAATGGACTGCGGGAGAAAAGGCTGCTGATAGACTTCTAGAAGAAAAAAGGACATTGGAGCAAAATTCTGCACGTGGGGTGTGTAGGGTCTCCGTGAGTCCATGCTGACTTGCTGGTTACGCAGGGTGACAGCTGGCCACTCCTGGCAACATGCCCAAAGTAGGTGAGATGATGCCTTCCTTCCGAGGGGAACCTTGGCTGCTCCTCCTCTGAGACATATCTGTTTGTCCTTTTGACAATCTGTGGGATATTCCGTGCTCTTCTCTAACCCCACAACTGAAAAGTGTTGCTGGAAAGACTTATTTTATCCTTCGTCTGTCGTTGGATTTCCCAGAAACCAGGCCTCATGGGTGTTTTTTTTCTCTCTCCTCTCTTAGAACTCCAGTGCTGACCATCGAGTCCGGCTGGACCTGGGCCTCTGGGACAAATTCAGTGAACTGGCCACCAAGTGCATTATTAAAATCGTGGAGTTTGCGAAGCGTCTCCCGGGCTTCACTGGCTTGACCATCGCAGACCAAATCACCTTGCTGAAGGCTGCCTGCCTGGACATCCTGGTACGTGCCTCTCAGCTGGGAGGAGGAGGAGGAGGGGACGGAGGGCACATGAGACTCTGCAGGGAAGACTCGGGTTCCCAGGCTCCTTTGCGCAAAGTCCTCTGTTTCAGCTGCAGTCTCAGATTCGTGTCCAAAAGCTCAGACACCCTGGAGCTGCACAGAGGCCACCCCCACCTCTGCCCAGCGTGGGAACCTCACACAGGATCTTGGGCAAGGGGCTCACGCTCCCTCAGGAATTGGTCAGTTGCTCACTTTTCCCTGGAAGTCTATCAGTGAGTGACCCTCTTCCTCCCTGCCACTCCCACCCTGACCTGGGGTCTCATAGAGGACTGATACCCCTTCCTCACGACAGCCCCTGCCCGTGCACACAGTGCCCCACCCTTCATCTTCATCACCTCCGGTGGCCCCAGTGTTCCCGCCATGCTCACACCATGGCTTCCAGAGTCCACACCCTCGCCCCCTTCTCCCCGGTGTGCACTAGGCGTGGGGTGAACCGGCCTGACTGGGCGGTTCCCATGGGCGGGGAGCAGCCTCTGTGAGCGTCCACAGGGACATGTCCTGCCTGGCGTGAGCGCAGAGGCTCCGGAGGGAGGTCGGTCCGGAATGCATCACGAAACGGGGAGAGGGAGAGAATTAGCATTTATGGTCCTTGAAATCCTAGTCTTCTTTCCCCCATGTCCTTTGGGGTGGCTGCCCGACTCCTCCCCCACTAAGCACCAGAGTGCACTAATCTGGACTTGAGAAGTCCTCACAACTCGCTGAGTTTAATTTTTTTAAATTTAAAATATATTTTCTTATATATTGGTTTGCAAGCTGAATTCATCTACACTGTGTTTCGGTCTTTTTACTATGCCTTTCATGTTCTTGTTACTGTTGTTTGCCATCAAGTCAGAACCAACCCATAGCTGACCCTCCAGTGGGTTTTCAGAGATGGTAAATCTTTTTTTATTTAATTTTATTAGTTTTAATGAACATTTACAGAGATTTTGGATTTCCATTCATTCATTGTTGCACTTTTCTCCCTGCCCAGCCCTCCGCCAGAGATGGTAAATCTTTATGGGAGGAGACTGCCCATCTTTCTCCTCCACAGCAGCTGGTGGGTTCAAACCACCGGCCTTTGGGTTGGTAGCCCATCTTCTTACCCACTAAGCCAATGGGGCACCCCGATGGTTGGGTGGCAGCTGTTGTTGTTTTGTGCTGTTGAGTTGGAACCGAATCATAGCAGACCCTCCCGTGGGCAGTTCATCACATGAAAGGAGACTGCCCATCCTTCTCCCACAGAGCAGCTGGGGGATTCGAACCATGTGCATTTGGGATTGCAGTGCAGCTTTTAACCACTAGGTCACCATAACACCGGGTATAAACCATGCTGAAAAGCAAATACACTATAATTATACACACACACACAGAGAGAGAGAGAGAGAATCTCTCTGAGAATGAAGTAGTAGGGTGGCATGTGAAGGAGTTCTGCAGATGTGTGTCTGTCTGTCTGTCTGTCTGTCTGTCCTCCCCCTTGATCCCTAAGAAAATTGGTAAGGATTTCTCAGTAAGAGGCCAGAGGTCCTGAAGGCATAGCTGCTGTTTCTTTTCTTGTTGAATCAGAGAGTTGGGGGTGAAGTATGGAAAATGATTTTTTTAAAAAAAAATCCAAATATCAGAGCAGCATGAGTTCACCGCGTGTTCTGTTTGTAAGCCTAAGCCCCCTTGAGGCTCACGCAGCTCAGTAAGGCTGGGTTGTGTGCAGTCAGCCCATTTCACAGATAAGGAGCTTGAGGCGAGCCAGGGTGTGAAGTCACGTGGCATGTGGTCAGTGGAGCCTGAGGCCTACATCTGTGGACTCTGGAATCGTGACAGGAGCTGCTGACAGAGTGGCCTGGGGGGCCCCCACTGGACCCTCAGGGTCAGCACACAGGCCCCAAGGGAAAACCAGCCGCTGCCCAGGACGCTAGAGGCCACCTGGACTCGTTAACAATCTCATGAATGATGAACCTTCAGATTAATCAGCAATAATGCCCAGGATCTTCTAATGCTTTTTTAACAAGCAGTTGGACTAGAACAGCTAGCTCTAGAATTTTCCCTGAGCCTCAGAACATCCTCAAGATGTTAGCAGAATCTGCAGTTAATGTGGAAAGAGGGGCCACAGGCCTAGAGGGACAGTTCCCTGCTGAGGACACAGCCAGTCAACACACCTACACCAACTGTGGAAGCCCTGGCAGGTCCTGGCACCAACAGCTAACTCAAGGTGTGAACTATGACCTGCCCTCTGATCTCTCCCTGACCCTCTGGCTGTGAGATGCGGCAGCTTTTTGACACCCCCTGCCCCAGCCTCAGCCCTTTGGCAAAGGTGTGGAATGAGAGGAGGGAGATTACCATAGGAGGGCACGTTGGCCCGGTAAACACACTCAGGGATCAAGGTTTAGAACTCGCCCTCAAACAATCTCTTCCCACCTTCATGGCTGTCTTCCCACATCTTCAGGCATCTCAGGGTGATAGAAATGCACCTCGGTTTGCAGGTGCCCCTGAGAACCGGCCCGTAGCACCTCAGCCATGTCCTTGAACCTCTCAAAGCTTCACTCTCCCCATCTTTACATAGGAAGATCATGAAGGAAGGGACTAGGGTAGTTGCTAGAAAAAGGCTGGAAGCACCTAGGATGTGCTCTGTGGCTAGTCGATGATGCTGAAAGCAGTGGCAGGCCTGGGTTCCCCACGTGAGCCGTTTTAGCTGCTGGGAAGACATCAGAGTATCCTCAGCCCCTCCTCCTTGGCTTTCCAGGGGTAGAGAACCAAGGGGTGCCGAGGCCCTCAGTCACATGAGAAGAAACACACCAGCTGATTTGGTCCCAGACACGAGCTCATGTCTAAGTAGCAGTGGTGAAGGCAGTTAATCACAAGATCCCCCACGATGCACAGCTTCAAAGAGCACCGTGTGGACGTGAATCTCGGCCGCCTGAGCTGGTTTGGAGGATCTTAGCTGAGCTGCAGATGTCTGGAGAGGGAGAGACCGAGACAGCAGGACAGACTGACGCCAGGGGCAGCTGTTCTCAGCCTCTGGGAGGCAGGGCTGGCACTGTCCCGAGGGCCATCACCCTGGCTGAGTGCTGTCCACTCAAGGCCAGTGGTCTCCATGTGGTGTGTGGTCTCCTGACATGACGAGGCTGTTTATTTTCAGTTCACACCTGCCATGGGGGGCACAGTGGTGAGAACGTTCCATCAGCTGCCCCATTACCATCAGGTGGGAGCCCCCTGAGACAGGTATGGGGGAAAGGAAAGCCCTCAGCCTGTCTGCCCCTGCTCCCCACTGTCCTCCACAGGTCTTCGTCCCAGCCTCGCTTGGTGGGGTCTTCACGTGGACTGTTTAGTTGAGATCCCACGTTTCCCTCACAGGACTGGGGGTGGGGGGTGGGCTCTGAAGCCTGTCATTGGCCTTTATGATTTCTAGTGACCTGGTGATGAGGATACACTTGTAGATTAATGGTAAGGACTTGCACTGCCAACCCAAAGGTCTGAAGTTCTAATCCACCACCAGTTGCTCCTTGGGGAAAAAGATAAGACAGTCTCCTCCCGTGTGATCAGCTGCCTCTGAAAACCCGCTGGAGGGTCAGCTCGGAGTTGGTTCTGACAGTGGTAAGGAGCTGTGCTGTCAACCCAAAGGCATGCAGTTCGAATCCACCAGCTGCCCTACGGAAGAAACATAGACAGTCTGCTCCCGTGTGATTAACGCCTCTGAAAGCCTGGTAGAAAGTCAGCTATGAGTCAGTTCTGACCCAATGGTACACATGACAACCACAAATAAAACTGAGTGAGAGCCACGTGGGTAGCACCGTTGCTGACCTCGACCACCTTCACAGGAGGACAGTAGCCCCGCTCACAGCATTAATAATACGAAACCAAGTCCCATGATGTCAGACGTGTTCCCCCCCCCCACGCTCCCATGCCTCTTTCTACTCATCTCAAACCAATATTGCTGCTTGGTCAATCTTACCTCACCCTCTCTCTCTCCCTTTCCATCTCCTCTCTGCCTCTGCCTCTGCCTCTCTCCCTCTCCCTCTGCCTCTGCCTCTCTCCCTCTCCCTCTCACCCTCTCCCTGTCCCTCATCCAAAAACCCACTATGATCACTCACGAACCACACAGAACCATCCTGGGGGAGTCAAAAGCCTGTATTTCAGATTAATAACAATATACAGTCACAACAGCTCCCAAAATGTGCACGCAGGCACCTCAGCCTCGAGCTTTCTGACTCTTACTAGCCAACTGAGTTCTCAGTCCTGCCAACATTGGCTTCCCCCCACCACAAAGTCCCGTCTCACATTCAGTTCTCCAGTTCAGCTCTCACTGCCGCCGCCACCATCCCCAACGGGTTCGGCGCATCTCTCTCCTCTGGCTGGGCGAAGAACCTCTTCTGGTATGGGAAGAATTCCTAATCTCTCAGCCACGGCTGTTCTGTTTCTTGGGGAGACTAGCCAGTCTCCTTGTGGGCAGGCCCATACCCCTCATTCGTGCAGTCCTGCACCTCCACACGGTCCATCATCTACACTAGAAAAGCCACGTTCAGAGACAGACTGCACAACAACAGGAGGCAAACGGGAAAGTTCTGTCACAGTAACGGTAGCCCCTCCAAAGCCATCCGCCGCTGGTGGACTTTACGAGGCCTTTGCTGTCCCAGCGGCTGAGCCCAGTGTTGAGCGCATCAGGGAGGCTCCAGGGGAGGCCCTGTCACCTGCACGACCCTGTTATGCTGCGCTCACAGCTTCTTCCTTGTTTTGTCTCCTATACCCTCTTCTGTCCCATCTTCCTCTTCCTCTCACCTGCATCCTCTACCCTGCAGGTTGTTGTTGTTGTTGTTGTCGTCGTTCACACCTCACAGCAACCCTGTGAACAAACAGATCTGAACCGTGTCCTGTCCTGAGCTGTCCCCATCATCTCTGGAGCCCATGGCTGCAGTCACTGTGTCAGTTTGTCTCATTGAGGATCCTCCTCTACTTCATTGACCCCCTACCTT